AGACAAAGGAAGAGTAGGAGGGCCAGGGGTGATTTCAAAGATCTGGCTGTGGCCTGCGGGCCCAGCAGTTGCAAGGCAGGCCAGCTGGCTGAGATCCTAACAAAAGCTGACATTGCAGCCTGGAGGTAGAACTCCTTTTCTGGAGGGAAAACTTCACATTTTTCCACTTTTTTATTTTTGTTTGCTTTTGTGTTACACACACACACACACAGACACACACACACCGTACACACGGGCCTGCCACGTCTCATGTGCGGGGTACCCACAGAGACCAGAAGAGGGCATCAGGTACTCTGGAGTTGATGCAGCCACGAGCTGCCTGGTGGGTGCTGGGAACTGGTCTCTGGTCCTCCGGAAGAAGGCTGCATGCTTTTAGCTGCTGAGCCATTGTCTCCAGCCCGTTTTTTCTTTAGGTCTTCAACCAATTAGCCAAGGCCCATCCACATCACAGAAGGTTTGTTTGCTTCTGTTCTTAGAGTCTACTCTCAGTAAAATGATCCATAAAACACCCCCAAAGAAATGTCTAGCCAACGTCTGACCAAGCAACTTAGCTCCACAGTTGACCCACAAAAGCAATCATCGCACACCTTACGCAAGCGGCTCCAAAGGTATGCCGTGCACGCCGCTGTGCATGAGATGGCTTCAGTGGCCAGGGGAAGTGCATTAAAATACATTTATCGTGTGCTGGTTCTCTTAAATCTCCTTTCACCTTAATTGCTATAAAAGGCTCTGTTTGATGTGAGCCCCTGGCCCCCTTTCTGATACTTGTTACTCATTTAAGAATAAAGCAAAGTCAAAGCTGAGCTGTCTTCATCAGATTTGCTTTCTATTTATGGCAAGTGATGCTCATATTCTATTTATGAAAGTGGCATAATTTTCCTCATTACATGGATGTATTTAAATAAGACGAAATGAGTACATTTAAAATTGAGCAAGTAGCAGCAACCACTGCTCCTCACTTTGGCATGGCAACATTCGTGAAACGGACAGGATGGCTTAGCGCGCACCGTGAGAGCCACACTAGGAAAGGACAGAGCCAGTGCTAACTGGATCGGACAGGATGGCTGTAGCATGGCTTTCTGGGGGATTTGCCATCAGTCATGCCGTGGACACGATGGGACATCGTGAGTCAGGAGAGAGCATCTAGAAGGAGCACAAAGCCCTTCCTGGTCCTTGTAAAAAATTGGGTTTCTAGGGCTGAGGGTATAGCTCGACTGGTAGGGTGTGCCTAGAATTCGCAGAGAAGCCCTGGGCTCCATCCTCGACACCATACAGTGTGGGTGTGGTAGCTCATGCCTGTAATCCCCGCACTCGGGAGATGGAGGCAGGATTAGTTCAAGTTATCCTCAGTGACTTTGAGGCCATCCTGGGCTACATGAGAGGGGAGGTGGAGCATTTGGAGTTGCAGAAGGGCAGGACTGCAGCTGATTCCATTGCCATCTGTGCTTCAGACCACGCCCCTGACCGTCACATGGCCAACAAACGCTTTTCCTCTCTGCGGTGGGACTGTGGTAGGCTGCAGTGGTTGGGGAAACCAGGGGCCGGAGTCTCTGCGAAGACCTTCAGATTGGCGTCTGTGCCTGCAGGTTCTGACATCTTGCTTCTGTCCACAGGCGACCTGGTGTCTCGGGCGATGCACCACCTGCAGCCCCTCAATGCGAAGCACCACGGCAATGGCACGCCCCTGCACCACAAGCAGGGGGCGCTCTACTGGGAGCCAGAGGCCCTGTACACACTCTGCTACTTCATGCACTGCCCACAAATGGAGTGGGAAAATCCCAACGTGGAGCCCTCCAAGGTCAACCTGCAGGTGGAAAGGTAGGCTTTCCTGGTTTCTGGCTCTCCACGGCCTTGTGACGGATTGGCGGGACCCTCTAAGATGAAGAGAGGGTTGGGAGGGGAGCTTAGTGCCTTGGGGAGACCTTAAAGCCTGGCGGGTTTTAGAAACAGCTTTATGTGTGGCTGGTCCTGTATGGGATAAAATTGGTCTGGGTCACAGGAGTGTACCTGCTTACCTCAGAGGGGCAGGAACTGGGGTGCAGTCTGGCTGCCTTGAAAAGTAGTTTGTGGGTGCCACCTCGTTAGATGTCTCCATCTTCCTTTCTCTATGGCGACCTTGGGGTCCCAGCGAGCCAGAGCACCTGCTGAGCCAGTAGAGGGTCTCTTGGGTACAGTGGATGCTGGCTGTTCTGGGAGAAGTTGTTCTGGGAGAACCCTTGTCGGGGGAGAAGAACGGGAAGAGGCTCTGAGCTTTGTCCCTCCATGTCTGCTGGCCTCAGCCTCCCTCCTACACATGGGGAAACTGAGTTACACAGTTCCTCAGGATTCCTTTACCTTTAAATCCCATGATCCTCTGGGAGCATCTCACCTTCTCTGAAGCCTGGGATTAGAAACAGCTTCCAAGAACAGGCTACCTGGAAGTGTCTCCTCTCTGAATCCCTACCTGTCTTTTCTCCAGGCTCCTGGGCCAGGCCCTACGCTGGCACAGGCCTTCCTTGGTCTAAGTACAATGGAAATGACCCCCATTCATACAGAGAAGCACCTAGGAGAACAGTCTCTAAGACATGCTGCCTGGGCTCAAACTCAGGCACTTCTAAAGACTGAGGCCTTGGGGAAATGCCCTCACCTCTCGTGCCTTGGTTTCTTTGTCTGTGAAATGGGATATAAGAAGGAAGTTCTTCACAGGGTTGTGGAGACTTAAGCGAGTGGGCTTAAGACCCGCCCACCTCCCAGCTTTCTGTTAAAGCAAGAGGGTGAAAATTGTCCAGGCCACAGGAATCTTCCTGGGCTTTAGGAATCCCACGTTAGTATCAGTATCCAGTCATCTGAAGCTGAGGGGCCAGGAGTCACCTTGGTCCCTCACTTTCCAGGCGAAGTCGGTGCACACACTAGCAAATCCCCACGTGCAGACAAGTCCCACAAGGGGAGGTGCAGGAATGTCTGTGGTCCCTGAACGAAATCTAACCTTAGTCAGGCACACCAGCACCTTGCTTTTCTTGACTATAGGTCCAAGAGCCTCAGCCTAAGTGGTACCAGGCTTTTCCCAGCCTAGTCGGTGTCAAGACTCCTTGCTCACCCTCTTGGGCTTTTGCCTCTCTGCAGATGCTGCTGCTCCCAGTCCAACACTGCCTCCTCTCACTCCAGAACCTCCTCATACCACCTGCTTCCCCTTCAGGTCCCCACTGGCAAGCCTCACACTCCAACACTGATTCTTCTTGAGCCCTTGTTCTTTCCTGCCTAGCACGGTAACCCGTGAATCCACACAGATCCCTAGGCTTGTGCAAGGAGATTCACCATGGTGGACTATCACATGTGGTTGGCCCATCACTCCACAGCCAATGCCAAGATCAGTGCTAGGTGCCAGTGGGAAGCCAACATGCACTTAAGAAATGAAAGCATGGGTTGATCCAGTTCCAGCTGCCCATGGAACATGTCCCTCAGGAGTACTGGCATCATCTTAGCTGAAGTGATCATATCCCCAAATCTGCTGCTTTTCCTGTCTCTGGTCTCTAATGAAGGCACTCTCATTGGCTTTAGAAAACTAGGACTCTTGTACCTGCTCTTGCATCCAGATGGCCAGCACGCTGATGTGAGACCTTTCCTGGAGAGATAAACAATCATCTATTCACACATGAGAGATATGGCACCAAACAATAGACCAGGAAATGATTCCACCCAAGTCTAGTTTAGTGCAACGGTGAGTTTAATCAAATACACACATACACTATATAAAGATATGTATACTATTATATATTATACTTACACAATATATAATATTATAAATATACATATATCTTTAGGGAGGGGTGCTAACTGCCTCTTAACCATCTTAATTTGGGAGAAGCAGGGCCCTGTGAGGCCCTCCTCCACTCGTGTGCGCTAGGAAGTTAATGACCCAATCTTCTCCAGATCTCCTTAGGGTAATCACAGACACTGATGGTTCAGTGGAGCAACAGCCACGTTACACCCAGAGGACAGCCTTCCACAATGCATGTCTCATGCCACATCTGTGACATCTCATTTCTGGTCCCTTCTGCCCAGGCCACAGTGGCTGTGCTCCTCCTCTCCCACTTTGATTGCCAAAGCTGATCTCTCAACAGTCTGCATGCAAGTGAGACTTAATAACCTCTGGCCAGCTCCGCCCTCCTCACAGCACCAGAGCTAAACATCCAAGACCTAATAACACCCTGTTGCGTGACCCTGCCCATACAATGGCGTGGCTCTATTGCCCACTGTGTTTTTCAGCATCCATTTTACCTTCTTGAGTCTATTTCTGGAAATTCAGAGTGTGGTTGGAGCAGTTGGGAGTCTAAAGAGACCCTCTAAGGAATGCAGAAGTTCCAGGACACACTTGAAAGAGACATGAGCTACATGTCCTGGATTTCCCCAAAGCCATTTATCCTATTCTTTCCTTTCCTCCTCCTTGGTTGAATTTTCAAAAACTAAAGTAGATGTTAACATTTTTTACAGTCATGATAGCTTTCATCTTCTGGAAATCTTACAGCGTGGTGAGTCAGGTGGGTACCAGCTAGGAATCCCAGCCCGGCTTCACAGTTCTGAGAGTGTGAACAAGTGATTTCACCCCCTTCAGTCTCCTTTTGTCATCTTTAACATGAGAAAGGCCCCTGCTCATGGGACAGGTACAAGCAGTGAGTTAGATGTCAGAGCTGAGACACCCAAGGCAAGCCTGGCATAAGAACGGCCTTCACCACTGCCACTACCAAATAGGAAGCTGCTATCATACATTTTCTCCTCTACAATGTTCATATCATTGCCCCCACAGACGCTCGTGAGTGGCTCTTCCCACAAGAACACCTCTCATACTGGCTCCCTCTTCTTGAAAATTATTTGGGTAGGACTGTGGTGTGTGTGTGTGTGTGTAGTGTGTATGTGTGTGGTGTGTGTGGTGTGGATATGCTATGTATGTGTGTGGTGTGTATGTGTGTTAGTGTGGGATATGCATGAGGTATGTGTGGTGTGTGTGGTATGGATATGCTATGTATGTGTGTGGTATATGTGTGTGTGTGTGTGTGTGTGTGTGTGTGTGTGTGTGTTTTCTAGACCATTAGCTCACAGGACTGATACAGTTCTTTCCATGCCATCAAAGAGAGAACTCAGTAAAACATGGATTCTTTCATATCTCATACTGTCTCTAGTCCAGAGTCTGTTTTGACTGAAATGCTAAGAAGTAGACCACAGATGCTATTTTCTGTGTCACATGGACCAGTCCCCCAGTTGCTACATTGTTCTGATTTATTCATTTGTTCTTTGTGGTAATTTGAAGAAGCTTAGCCTGAATATAAAATCACTGTAGCCTATGTTCTATCAGGAGCTATTAGAGGCTATTTGAGCATGATGGGTGTGTCCCCTTGTTAAAATTTAGACAGATTTTTGTGATATTTACATTAAGCTATTTGTTTTCCAAACAGTAGTGGTATGTTCCAACATCTTAGTATTGAGGTGAGGCTGAGCTACTTTTTAAAATAAACCCTCTTATGTTGAGGACAAGTCCCCTGAGTCATTGTCTTTGCTGGAAATATCAGTGATTCCTCGATGTATTTGGCCACGGATGAATTCACTCATTTGTTGTCACAATGTAAAAAATAGGAGGATGAATAGAAATGCTTTGTGGCCTTAAGTAGATGGTGCTGTCAGGGAGGGACACCAAACAGCTTCCCTGGGAAGAGTAGGCACAGGTCTGCCTGCCCCAGTCTTTCTGAAAAAAAAAAAAAAAACAAAGCAGAATTGATTCAATCAGCATTATCTCTCACCTCTTCAGCAAGCAGAATTTACAAACAAATGTGGCAGAATGCCTTCTGGGTGGAATCTCAGCCACAACCACAATTATCACTCATTCATCAACTGCCAAGTGTTTGAGGAAAACTAATGGTGTGTAACAAAGCAGCCTTACCGCTCAGGAGAGTTTACACTTGAAGAAACAGAGTTCATAAAACAAACATACCAGAACCTTAGAGATTAATATCACCCAGTTATATTTTCCTAGATCCTCACTTGGCCAAGAGGTCACCTCCACCATCACTTCTTAATGCACTTTCACCTATGGGGTGAGCAAGGCTCCTATTTCAACAACCTCCCAGGACTTTCCTAGGCTCATGGGAAGCATCCAGAAGGCTGGAAGTAAATCTTCTGCAGGATGCTTCCTTGCCTAAGCAGGGGGACTGCTTAAAGTAAAATGAAGCCTCTGAGAGGCTGGGCATGGGCTCACACACTCTGCCCTCTTCTGTGTGAGAAGTTGACCTTGGATTAATTCTCTAGCTCTGTTCCCCTGGTAACTTGATTTTAAAAAATTGTAGTGTCAACTGGGTTACTAGGCAACACTGTGCACCATCAAAATGGCCACATGTTGATAAATTACATCTGCCCTGATGGAACTAGAAATGTTTGACAAGGACCCAGAAATTTAGCATTTCCTCAATTCTCTGACTCTTGTAACCATCTTTTGAAGGAACCTTGGTGGCTAATCTATGAGATTCTTCCAGGAGATATGGGATTTTTAAGTCAGAGAAATTCGCACAATTATTCAGGCATAGTTGTGTCCCATACCTGAGTGTCCCCTGGACAGATGGTAAGGGCTCCTAGAGTCCCACCAAATGGGACATGGGGCGCTGGCCTGCTGTGCCAAGTGAGGTCCAGGTGAGCCAACCTCCAAAGCTTCTGATGGCCACTGGAGCCAGAGAGCCAGACCTCTGGGCTCACAACAAACAGTAGTATCCAAGTGACACCCAGGCCTGCACCAGTGGAGGTGACAGAGACACCTGACTTCAGGCACTGCTGCTCCTAGAAGACTTCTGATACCATTGCCCAGAGAGGGGAGGTCTCTGCCATCACTCTTGTCAGCTAGATATGACACCTGTCACACTGTTTCAGATCATATGGCTGTCCCTTTGCAGGGAAATCTGGGAAAAGGCATTTGTGGCTTGGGAAACCATAGCACAGCCTGGGAATTCTCAAACCTGGGAATTCTAGCTCTGGTTCTTAGGAGTCAAAACATCCCCCACTACACACTTCTACTTTGCTGTTTTTAAATAATAATAATACACTCATACTTAACTTCATAGTGCAGTACTTTTGACCACATTGGACAAGCAAGTCATAACCATCTGGCTTACACTCTCACAGCTGAGAACCAAGATATTGTTTCACAGCCTGGAAGCCTTGAAAGCCAAAAAGAGAATGAAAGAGGTAGCTCTGGCCACCTGAGCTAGGATTGAAACACCTCTTCTCAGAGAAAAGGCACCACCTCCTTTCAAAGAGAGGATCACGTTTTGGTCCCTGAATGTCCAGCCCGGAGCTGGTGGGTCCAGATGAACGCAGAAGGGTCCTGCCTGCTACACAGCCATCGGCGGGGGAATTAGTTATTTGTCTTGTTCCTGTGACAAATATGTTTGACAAGAGCAACTTAAGCCAGGAAGGATTTATTTTGGCTCACTGTTTGAGAGCAAGGGGGTCATGAAGCAAGAGCAGCAGACAGATGGTCAACCACATCACAACCAGGGGGCAGAGAGGGTTCAGTCTAGAACCCCGCCCAGCAAACAGTGGTACCCACAGTTTGGGCGGGTTTTCCCACCTCAGTTAACCTAATCAGATATCCCCTCACAGACATGCCCAGAGATTTGTTTCTGTGGTGATTAGAAATCCCATCAAGTTAACAGCTAAAAGTAGCTATTACAGTGGGTTGTTTTGAAATTGGCCCTGATCTCAACCACCATTCAAATGATTTGTAATGAAGAAAACATGCATGCCAAACTTGAAATAATTGATGTTAGGGGGCAAAGTTTTATAATGTGATATGATTACAACTTGAACATAGATGCAACTTGCTTTTACTAGCCAGGGGGAAAATTATTCTAATCCCGGTAAATGTCAGTCTGTAAGTTCTAAAGTTCATGAGTGATCCAGCAGGTCAACATGGTGCGTATATTAGTAGAAGCTGCTCCATGGGCCAAATCTGGCCCAGTGCCTAGTTTTGAAAATACAGTTTTACGGGGCACAGCCACACTCATGCGCTTACATTTATTTACATGGAAGCTTTTGAGCCGAGGTAGAGTTGACTCCTAGTGACAAATATTTGAATGTTCATAAAACTGAAAGTAGTAATTGGCCCTTTCTAGAAAATACAGAAGTGCTGACCTTAATGTGGATTGTAACTGTCACTTTAAAAAATTCACATTGAATTTTAAATACCACTGTATTCTTCATAAGGTAAGGCATACATGTTCATAAAGCTTTCTCTCTAGTCCTGGCTGGAGTTAATTAGCTTGCCCAGGGGATGCAGCTGAAGGGAGGACTTGAACCCTTGGAGTGAATATGTGTTCATATTCACTAGGCTGTCTTTGTGTTAACAGATGATAGATTTTTATAAATAACATTGAAAACCTCTTCTTAAATCCTTAGAATCTTTTGTGATCTTTATGGGTGTTTACATGTCATAAGGTGAATATATTTTAAGTGGAATATGATGAGTACCAAAAAGCTAGCTGTGAGGAAGAAACTCCGCAAAACCAGAGGCACTCAAGCCCTGTGACTGCAGACAAAGGTGTTTAGGTTGCTTCCTAACACAGAGAGGCGGGGACCAAACAGAACCCGCCATTGCACTGGTCCCGTTGGCTGATTGACCCCTGAAAGTATGGGTTTTCCAAGAACGGCTCTGCCGCTGGGCTTGGGATTAAAGTCAAGTGATGTTCTGCAGTAGGTGGAGCTCGCTTGCTTCATCCATGTTGAAGAGCACTAAGGCCCAGCAGGATCTGTCATATTCACAGAGAACTTGCAAGGTGGTGCCTCAGTTTCTTTGCCCATGCCTACCCTCCACTGGGAATACTCTCTCCCCTCTATGCCGCCAGCTGGGGCCATTCTTAGTTTGTCCTTCAAGGTTAATCGTGGGCATCACCTCTTGTACCTACCCTTCCCTCCCACCTGACTGTGCTAAGTAACCAGAATCTAGCTGAGTGCATAGTGTAGCGTAGCATAGCACAGCACAGCGTAGCACAGCACAGCATAAGCACCGAATGTTTGCAGGACCGAATGGGGCTTCACTTAACACTGAGAGTATCGGGTGCTGTCAGAGCCCACCCCGGCAGCCCCCAGCTTCATACCAGCTCTAGGACTCACATGCTCCATACTCTCCAGGCCCGTTTCCTCAACTGTCAGCCAGAAATGACTGCTACTTCCTCAGCCATTTGGGCGACTGCTGAACTCACACACATGCCTCATGCTGTCACTGACACTCACAGATGCCATTCTTCACCCTGAAATCCAGGCTGGCCTCCCTTGGATCTTTCCTAAGTTCCTTGGGTGCACACCCAGTCCTCACGTGATCACCCTGAGGCAGGATCTGTGTCACCTCCTCCTTCCACCTGGCAGGTGCAGCCAGGTGAGCTCAGGGCCCGTGGTCACAGGTACATGGGCGTGTCTGAGTGAGTCCTGGGTAGAGAATGTGTCAGGACAAAGAGGCTGGTCTGTTCAGGGGAGTGTCTGGAGACACAACAACAGACTGGGCCGGAGGGAGACCCCCTGCCGTTAGTGAAGATCAGGAAGGACCAATGAGCAGGGAGGTGACGCTGGCGTGAGATACTGTCATTTAATCAGCACCTGCTCTGTGCTGGCGTGGACACAGTGTAGTGTAACCCCACGTTCCTGTGGCAGACAAAACGAATTAGGCTAGTAGTAAGAAAAATCACTCTTATTCAAGGTCTATCCAACATCGTAGCCCACTCAGACCATATCTGAGCACTTTACAAACCTGATGGGGAATAATGAATCTACTCGCAAGATGCAGTGAGGTTTCCATCCATGTGCACACCCGTTAAACAGGGGAAGCATGCTTGGGGCATTCTCTAATCCCAGAGCTGCAGGACTGAGACTGAGATCCTGACTTCCACACTCATTAGCTGAGTGATCTTGGACAAGTGATGCAACCATTCTGAGCCTCGATTTCCTGGAAACTACTTCAGGGGTGCACATGAGGCCTTGTGAATTGATGCATTCAGCACGTTAAAGGTCTCTGTGCACATTAGAAACAATGGCCATCATCACTTTGCTGCAGTGGTGTCTATTACGTGGGCTTGGTACAGGCTAAGGATTGGGATCTTCATAAAATGTAGACTCTATTCATTAGTCCTGAAGGCGGACCCTACACATTTTCTGTCTACCTAGCTCCCAGGTGAAGTTGTTGGGGCCTGGACAGCACTGTAACAAAGTATTACCATTTTTTCTTTGTTTTGCTTTTGTTCAAAGTTTATACCAACCTCCATTTTTTAAAGCCACATACAGACAAGAAATAAGCCTTTGTGGTGACTGCATCACTGTGGTAGGGGCTCATTTGCTCTTTGGTGCCTAAGAGCCATCCCCGTGGAGGCTGGCTGCAGCCTCCGTTTTCCTTACCCAGAAGCTCTCTGCAGTCTACCTAAACAAATGGGATGTGGAATTGTCCCGACATGGCCAGCCCACAGCATGCCCAGCTGTGGAGCCACCACCAAAGCATAGCTCCGGATTTAACCATCACCCGCTGCTTCCCCAAGGTGGCCCAGCGCCTCTGCACACCTCAAGTCTGCAAATAAAAGCACAGCTGTGCAAAGAAGAGGCAAGGCAATATTTGGCAGGGGCCATCCTCGGGGACATCATCCAGGCAATCGGGACTTCACCAGCATCTGTGCTGTTGACACCTGCAGCCTCGGGACTTGTTAAACAGCTTTGGCTGAGTTACTTAGGGAATTTACCTAGGAAGGGGACAGCTTGTGTCCACAGGTGACAAGCTGAGGAGCAGACTCAGACTGAAGGACAGCACCCTCCCCCAGCATGCAGGTGTAGCCTGTCTGCCAACAGGTACCACATTTGTTCCTCTCAGTGGCCAGGTCTCTTCTGGGTCTGCCCCCACTGGATATGACAGCAAGCTCATGGGGTCAGGCACCAACTTCTCCTTGCTTTGTAGGAAGGGAAAAGTACTTTACTCTGTGTGTGTGTGTGTGTGTGTGTGTGTGTGTGTGTAGAGGTCGGAGGACAATGGCTGTGGTCATTCCTCAGTCACCATTGCTCATGTGCTATCCACTTTATAGGTTTGTTCATTCATTTCAGTCCTTCGTTTATTTGTTTGGGGATAGGATCTCTCACCAAGTAGTCCAGGCTTGCTGGCTAGTGAGCTAGAGGATCCTCCTGCCTCTGCCTCCCAGCACTGAGTTACAAGCACACACTGCTATGGTTGGGTATTTTTATACTTGGGTTCCAAGCCTCGAACTCAGGACCTCATGCTTGCAAAGGCCAGGGCTTTATCAACTGAACTGACTCTCCAGCCCATGAAACCTTCCTTTTATAACACACAGAATCGAAGATTACAGCTGCCCAGCCCACTACAATAATCTCTCCCCATGAGTGAGTGTTTAAATTTAAATGAAAAAGAACCAAACCAAACTACAGAGTCAGTTCCCCACCACACCAGGAGCCCAGCCCCCTTTCAGATGCTCAGCAGAGCTGGGTGGCCTCATGGGGAACTGACAGGTCTGTGATATCAGGGACCATGACATCTCCATCATCGTAGACTCAAGGCAAGCAGCATTTCGGGACAGCAGCCAACCTAACGTAGACACTCCCTCTGTTCCATTGTCTGGTATGGCTTATGCCATACCGTGCTGTCCTTATTCCTATGGCTCTGTAGTATAATCTGAAGATATGTTGTGATAGTATTGCTCTCTTTGACTGGAACTACTTCGCTCCTCAGAATTCAAATGAATTTTGGGATTTTTTTCTACCTTGGTGTAGAATACCCTTTGAATTTTAATGAGTATTGTGTTAACTCTGTAGACTGCTGTTATTTTTGCAGAGCTGCACTTGTAGGAGGCAGCCATCAGGGGCCCGGAGACTGAAATCGAGTTCTCCCACATTCAACCAAATGCTTTTTTGTTGTTGTTGTTTTGTTTTTTTTTACGAGACAGGGCTTTTCTGTATTGTTTTGGAGGCTGTCGGACCAGACCAGCCTTGAACTCACAGAGATCCGCCTGCCTCTGCCTCCCGAGTGCTGGGATTAAAGGCGTGCGACACCACCGCCTGGCTTTGATACTGGGCTCTACCCCAACCCTCTTTTCTCTTTTCACTTTTCACTTTGATACATTTTGAGACAGTGTCTTATTCTGTTGCCCAGAGCTAGCCTTGAACTCGTGATCCTTCTGCCTTAGCCCCCTGAGTCTTCCAGGCCCGACTTAGAGCAGCACTCCCTAAAGTGCCCATTTCAACATGGCCCTGCCATAAGGGCAGTGGGTGCCTCGGTGGGTCTCCACGGGAGCCGCTGAAGCCTCTCGTAGTCATCATTCCCTTTGCTCTCCCTATCTGGCGGAAGAGTTTTAGCCTGAGAGGACATTCCCTTTGCCTGTGTCACACAGCGGGTGAGGAGCCTCTCTGGGACACGGGCGGGAGGCATGGCCTCTGCCAGCGCATGCCGTGCCTGGGGCCGAGAAGCTGGAGCAGGTGGGAAGCCTGGCACCCACAGGGAGAGTAGTCTCGTTCTTTCTCACTGTGCTTCCCTTCCGTCTTCCCGTTCTTTCTCACTGTGCTTCCCTTCCGTCTTCCCGTTCTTTCTCACTGTGCTTCCCTTCCGTCTTCCCTTCTCGTGTTTTCCCTGCCTGGGGCCAACTGGTAACAAATGGAACAAAGATTGCATCCTACTTGACTACAATGTTTAAACCTCAGAGAAACGTGTTGATTTCATAAATTTCTATAAAGGTAAACAGAGTCCACCCCTCAGGTTTGACTTGTAATTGACACATGATAACCACACAGCCTCCTGAAACACAGTGTGCTGTTTTGTTCCATAGGCCAGTAAATCAGGCTTGTGAGCATAACTATCACCCCAATGTTTGCCATTTCTTTGTAGTGGGAATGTTTAAAAGGCTCCTTCGACATTTTGAGGCATAGACAACACTATTATCAGCAACAGTCTCATGCTCAGTAGATAAAAATCCATTCCTCTTTCTCCCTCTAACTCTGCCCTTGCCAACAGACCTCTGCCCACCTCAACCACTATGTGGATGTGCCTCACAGGAGAGTGGTACCTCAACACTGTTTGAGCATCTCATGTTTCAGTCTATGTAAACATTTTCATCACTTTTACTTACTCTGAAGTGTCTGATTCGTTATTCACTTACCAGTCAGTCAGCTGTGTCCGTCCAGTGTCTCTGTGAGTTTTGTAGCACTGGAAGCCAACGGTCCTCCCACCGTTAGACAGTGCGAGAGCACTCTAAGGCTTTGAAGAATGAATTCAGATATCCTTCATGATCACCCCACAAGACATGTGTGATTAGCATGGTCTGAATTTTATAGATGGAGGTGAGGCAGGGAAGAGAAGCAGATGGCTCAAGCCTACAAGGCCCCAGAGTGACAGCTCAGTCAGCAGCCGAGTCCAGAACCATGGGACTGAACTGTGAACTAACTGTGTGCAGTCCCTGAGCAGAAGGGAGGGGACAAAGGGACCTCGCATGGCTCTGTTCAGCACCACCGGAAGGGGAGGGCACAGAGTGTCGACAGAGGCTAGACAAGTTGTCTGTGGTCATGAGGATGGTTTTTGAGTAGGACTTTGTAAGCTGGATCAAATTGTGCCATTGCATGGCAAATGCCAGGAGGTAATCCAGGGATGGAACCCCTGGCCCTAGATTTAAGAAGCCTAAAGATTCGTTGTGGGAGGCAAAGGCCAACCCTGGAGAACCCGTGCTGGATCCTGGAGACCCTCCTTCAGTGATTTGCAGAGGAACAGCTGTTTCACCATTAAAATGTTCAAATGCTTCTCTACCGGTTGATAAAGCCCCTTGTGACCCACCCCACAGTGTGTCCTGGACACAGTTGGGGTCTGGTCTTGCAGTGGGCCTGGGAGGCCCTGTCTGTACTGAGGGGACAGGGTAGACTGCTGCTTGGTGGGAGTTTAATACTTAGAATGCCATCCATGGGATTAAAAAAGAGCAAAGATTATGCCCTCCAGTGTGGCTTCTGTCTTTATGCCTCTGATGGGGGACTAGGGATGAAGATAGGAGGCCCTGGTGTGGGGGGAGCAGAATTCAGAGCCTTGCACCCCTGGAGGTGCTCCTGCACCCTGTCCTCTCCCGCAGGCTCTGTGCTGTTGCCTCTGAGGCCTGAGAAAGCCTCTGCTCTCCGTGGAGCCTTCGCTGGGGAGCTAGAACAGCTGTGGAGTGCTCACCTGTGCCAGGCCCAGGAAAGCGCCTGTCAGAATTTCTCCACTTGGACTTCAGGGTCATGCTCTGGGATAGGATTTGTCTTCATATTTTCCTAAGAAAGCAGAGAGTGAAAAATTCAAGGCCTTGCCCAAGGTCACAGAGCCCTATTTGTGACTGGAGGGAAGCTGCCTGCCTGCACTCCGTGATCCCAGATTTCCTCGTGTCCTCCTGACACCCTCTGTAGCTCTGACACCACAGGTTGATGCCCCATGCCTGGGTCTGCTGCCACTGCACCGAACTCCTTGCAGGCAGAGCTGAGGGTTGTCCGTCTCTCACTCATCATGGTTCCAAGTAGGTTAGAGAGTTAGGCCAGCCTGGGACACAGCACCAAGGTAAAGCATAGAACTATGAAGGAATCAGCTTCCCTGACAGAGCTGGCCTCCCTCTCCTCAGTGGCCCGAAGGCAAGATGCTTGATCTGCCTGGAACAGACAGCTTTTTACTGCCCTGTGTTTGGATCCTGGAACACACAGGGAAAATGTCAAAAATTTAAAAAGGACCTAAGTGCAAATTAGCTCAGATGCTTCCCAGTGAGAACTGAGAGTCAGCCCAGCACGGTGAGTTCAGCAGGCAGGTCCACAGACCCAAGCAACCCTAGAACCGGTGCCCCACAGGCCAAATTTCCACTCTTCTCTCCCCCACCCCCAGTTTTTTGAAGTATGCTATCCTGCAGCCCAGGTTGGCCTCAAACTCGGGATATAGCAGAGGGTGTCCTTGAACTCCTGATTCTCTTGCTTCCATCTCTGACGCACTGAGATTGCATGAGGGCACTACCGTACCCAGCATCAAACTGCATCCTCATACACACTGCAAACACTGCAACACTAGCCTCACCCACAGGCCCCAGGTGACCACTCCTCCCAGTAGTGACGGAGGTCAGGCCAGTGCTGGGTGTCATGCATGCATGGTGGGACTAGCCGAAACCGGAACAGTACACCTGGTCCTCTGCCCACAAGATGTATTCCTGAGTGTTGCGCCCTTCAAAGGCTGGCTCCACACAGAGCCGCCACACAGAGCCACCATGCAGAGCCGCCACGCTTGTCCAGTTTCTTGAGTTTTATTGATTTAATCATCCAACCTTCTTCCATCTTGTTCTCCTCGTATGTTGTGTTGTTTTACAGTTGCAATGTAAAGGAAGATAAATTCAAATTTTTACAGTTATTCTTTCCTGAAAAGGTATATAAGCTCGTTTTTTTAAACTATTATAAAATGCAGAAAAACATGAGAAGGAAAACTATAATTATCTACATCTTCTCATGGGGGGGTTTGTTGTTGTTCTTGAATACAAATAGTTCAAGTTTTAAAATATTTGTGCTGTGTATATAACTTTATATCCCTTTTATGTCACTTAATAGTGTCCCATAAGCCTTGCTTGGTGCTGTAGAACATACATGCACATCATTTTTAATGGCTGTGATATATTCCATCTTCTGAATGCACTGTTATTTGCCTAATGTTTCCCCAATTGCTGGTCATTTGGATTGTTTCCAATTTGCGAATTGCTGTTCTTTGAAAACTACCCACCATGGCGCGACTAAAGCATCTACGGAGAGAGTGGATATAAAGAGTCTGCTTGGAGGAGAGCAATTGAAAGATAATTCACAGGGCCTCTGATGGCCAATGTGAGTGAGAAATTGGCCGAGAAGCCCAGCCCTTCCCCCAAAAGGAGCCTTGCCCAATCGGCCTCCTACTTCCTTCTTCGGGAAGCAGGCCTTGTGGGAAAGGAATGGCAACTTCCAGGCCTGCAAGCTTTCTTCCCACAATCGGGCCTCCCCACCCATCTTTCAGGGTTGTTCTACAAAGAAGCACATCTCCGAAGCACCAGAAAGCAAGCGTCGGCCTTGTTTTTACAGAAAGGGCATTGCACATGCGCCCGGCTGAGCCTTCGGGGTGTCCGGTTGTGTGTGCTTCTTTGTAACTGTGGATTTCAGGTCTGTGCTCTGGGCATGTTTTCCCTGTGTATAATAAACTCTGTCCAGACAGGCTTCCTCTCTTGACTGAGAAATTCGGTCAAGGTTCAGCCAGTCAAGCCCTGGCAGACCCAGGAATTTGGGCTAAGAGGCTAGAAAAGCAGGCAGCTGTCTTCCCAGGCTTCCCTGCGTCTCACTGCCAAGTTCGGTGTGCAAGGCTGGAGGGAGCCTTCCAGTCCATGTCACACAGAAACCCCACCCTCACGTGGCTGCTCCCCAGACCCCGGGCCCCGGGGCGTGGGTGGAAATCTTCCGTGAGCAGAGAAGGGAGCCAGTCCGCAGTGAGACGGAGGGCATGCTCGGAACGCAAAGCCGTGTCTGGGAACTGCCCGGCCCTGGAATCCAGTGCAACTACAGGAACGGGTGGCAGGTGACACTGGGTTCTGCAGCTTGTTCTGGCTCTCTGCCTCCTGTGTTGGTGGCCGCTTATGCCTCAGCCACTAAGTGCTGACCTGCCCTCACCGTCGTGCAGGCATAATCAATGACGTTCAGACTCCTTGCCATTGAAACGGATTTTAAGTCAATACTGAATGGCTACACTAACCTCCTGGGTAGCTCAAACACTGAGGACTGGACCTTGAACCCTGGAGTCCTCGGTGAGATTCGGCCCCAGATCCTCCCTCCAAGGGGACTGCTAATAAGCAGAGAACCAGTCAGTACTGAGACAGTTCCAAACCGCTCTCCATATTCACGGATTTTCTAACTTAGGTCCAATGTCTCCCAACTTCTTACCCCTCAAGTACTCCACAGAATCCCCTGAATGCCCTGTCTTCTCCTATGTCACCCCTCTGCCTATGCCCTGTGGGTAAACACCCCCCCTTCCCACAGGCTCAGGGCCACCCTCTCAGCTGTGGCTGATGTCAAAACACCAGCATCATCTCAGAATGCCGTCTGCTCCGGGCCATAAAGCTTCTAGATTGTGGCTTTCTTTCCTTGTGCTTCCCACACTAGAGCAGAAGCTCCCGAATGTTGTCAAGTGCAGAAGGACTCTGCGCCATCACCAAGTGCAGAAGTTGGTGCCCAGGAGAAGTTTGTTTTGCATTCACCCATTCAGTAGACAAGTAATAAGCAGCTACTGGGCCAGGCAAAATGCCGGCCCTCACTGGCTTCAAATCCTACCAAGAGACAAGGAAGGGTGACAGCAAGCCGGGGAAGTGAGCAAAGACCCTGGGGCCGGAGCATGCTGGGCAAACACAAGGACCAGCCAGGAGGCCAGGGAGGCTGGGCAAGTGCAAGGACCAGCCAGGAGGCCAAGGAGGCTGGGGCAGAGCGAACGGGAGGGCGGGAGGAGCTGGAATCCAAGGTGGACAGGTCAGACGCGCAAAGGAGCTTGGGTTCTTCTGAGCCCAGTGACGGTCTGTATCATTGACTTCCTGAGGATGAGGGGATTGAACTAAGACGCCTTAGGTGTCTCTGGGTAAGGAAGCAGTCGGTTTTGGAAGCAGGCACTGCCCTAGTCTGTCCTTATTACCTAAAATCACACAAGATTTGTAATCGGTCCCTTGAGCAACTTCACAACCCGCTTCATCGTGAGTCTGGTCCTTCCAGGTATCACAGAGCCTTGGCGTTTATTCCAAAGCTTCTCGCCAGTGCCCCTTGCCAGCTGCTCCCCTGCACCAGCGGCCGTGAGGCGGCGGAGCTGGCTCAGGGGCATTTGGCTTCTGAGGAACAGAGGCCAACACCAGCCTGCTGCTTCTACTTCACTTTTGTCTTTCAAGGTCTAATGTCGGGGACGGGTGTGGTCACTGGAATTTAGGGTCCTAGGTCTGACTTTTAACCTACTTTTCACCCAAGTCTGGCTCTCATTAATTCCTAGTGATGTGGAATTAATTCCTTTATTGCAACTGGGAAGATCGCGTCTGGCTATTTTTATCATCTTTATAAGCAAATACCACGAAGCACCCCCCAGAGTAAAGCAGGAAAGCCACAGCATTCAAGCAGAGCACATTTGCAGACTTAAGTAATATATTCCACTGCGTGACATTCCAGGGGAGATGTGAGCAGGCATCCATTCACCCCGGGTAGGGCCCCATGACAGACCAAAGAGCCAATTATACTCAAGTCTCACTTCATGAGCCAGGGACTTTATTGGGATCACTTCCAGGAGCACGGGTGACCTGGTGGGAAACCAGGCTAGCATGGAAGGCACTCTGAGAAGCTGCCTCCCTGAGCTCATTGCCCAGTCTGAGGCAGCGCCACTGAAGACACCTCCTTTCCCAGACAGTTCTTTGTTAGCGGCAGTGGTGATGGTGATGGTGGTTTCGTTTGTTTGTTTGTTTGTGTGTGTGTGTGTTCTGATTTCATAATGTTAAGGAGGGGCCTCGACCTTGTAACTTTGCAGCTTTCAGGGCTTCGTAGATTTTTTTAGCTTCTTGATTCCCATGTGTCTCCCCTTCCCTCCTGGAGGCTGTGATATTTGATCTGGAAGAACAATATGTCCACTGATTCCACTAACAAATATTTATTTATCCATTCTAAGGACTTCTGGACGCCCTGTTATACAGCTGCTAGTGAGGAGGACTACCCCGCGTGGTGGTGGTGCTCCTGTGGAAGGATTGGAGGGTGCGGACCTAATGCCCTCGTCAGTGTGTAGTACAGACAGAAATGAAGCTGAGGAGATGCTCAGTGAGCTGTGTGTCTCTGTGTGAGAACCTGAGCTTGAACGCTAGGACCCACATGAAGAAAAATGGTTTTGAAGACAATACAGAGGTCTGGTCAAAAGTGAGTCTATCCTGGGCCAGCAAGATGGTTCACTGGGTAATGCCACTAGCTGCTAACTAGGCCTGAGTTCAATCCCTGGGACCCACGTGGTAGAAGGAGTGAACCAATTCCCACAAGTTGTCCCATGACCTTCATATACCTATACACACACACAATAATAATAATAATAATAATAATAAATTTAAAAAGTAATAAAAAGTTAATTGATCTACCTGATATTAGGAAGAAGGAGGGGTTTGGTAGAAGAAGGAGTAAGATACATATGTTATACATATATTATATGTTTCATATATATGAAGTTGTGACCATAAAAATAATTTTTAAATGCAATAATAGCCATTTTACTTAGATAACTGAATTTAGTAGTGAATCTTAAAAGTTCCAGAGACATTTCTTTTACATGCTAGAGTGCCGGAGGATAATTGCTGTCTTTGAGCTGTGTGGAAATGCTAAGGTTAACGCAATCACCGGAGTCTTCACCCAGATTTGCTTCCTGTAGCAAGAATGATGAAGACTCAAGCACTGGTTCTCTTGAGGTGTCTCAGGACAGTTGATAACACAGCTTGAGACTGTTCTTGAGAGCTACCTACCATATTCTTTGCCTCTCAATTTTTTATTTTTATTCATTTTTTGACTTGGTAAAGATTTACATTTGAGAAATAAATATGTTTTCTGAACATATAAATAATGGCAATCACCCTTCTCTGGCCCTTGCGCTAGAAGAAAATTAACTGCTGTTCATATGCTTGCTTTGCAAGTAGGTTCTGCTGAAACAGGACATCTGCAGATAGTGCTTCATTTTCTAGAATTAATTCAAGTACGGATTAGCTTGTTTTTGTGCCAGACGATCTCATTTCTATACTTTTTAAAAGACCGATGCCTGTTAGTACAGTCACACGTCTCAGATCTGAGCTGGAGATTGTGTGACTTAGGCTGGGCCATTTAGCCTCTGTGACTGCATCCTGCGTTTTTTGTACTTTCTAAGTCTCTCCACCCCAAGACCATAGCTGTCTCGTGTAACTGCCTTTGGGTAGACTCAAACAATATACACAACAGAGGTCTAAATACAGAAGGCAGTCCTGACTAGCATTCACTATTGTCTCAGCTAACCCCAGGTTGTGACAGAGGTCTGAATACAGAAGGCAGTCCTGACTAGCATTCACTATTGCCTCAGCTAACCCCCAGGTTGTGACTTGTATGTAGACTTCCGCTAGAATAATGCATGTGACATGGAAGGCTCTGTCAGACAGGAGCACAGGCAGCATTTGCTCTTCCCTATCCAAGCCCACCCTGTGACCCCATGACCCCTGCTCACACTTGATGACAGACTGTTCCAACACCTTCTTTAATCCCATCTCCACTTACTACTTTTTGGGGACAACCTTGAATCACCTACTGGATTTCCCAGGAAGCAGCTGACTGCTGTGCCGATTTCCTGTTGGATGTGTCAGCATTCCACAGAGTCTCCCCTTCCTATGTGGAGTTCCCAGTTCTGGAACCTCACTGTGTGCCTGCCCATGATAAGATAAACTACTCAACCCGAATACCACAAAGTAACCTAAACTGTCCCAAACCTTGATGACTGAGATGGCTTTTCTTCATTGCTGACTCCTATTGTACATTCTTACCCAAAAATGGAAACATCCTCATCTTAAATCCCAAATTTCCTTAGCATATGTAGGTGTGCTTATTGGAACCCAAGCTTAGCAGCAAGGAAGACTGGATCAGGTCTCAGTTACGCTGCTGCAGAAAAGACTTTAATGGTCCTTCACTGTGGTCCAACCACTAACTCAAAGTGACTAGAAGCAAGGAGAATAACCTCTATTCCCTTCCTTGCATCAGACAGGCAGGCATGAGAACTTACCAGCACTGGAACCCCTGCTCCTGCAGGAAGCCTTGCGACTCGTTCAAATATACCGTAGTGATGCTCCAGCCCTTCTGCTGCATCGGGCAGTAAGTCCTATTTCTGTCAGTGTCAACGAGCTTACAGTATTGGAAAATGGAAAGAATTATTTGTATTAAAGATGACTCTATTTATACATTAAAAATAGGGTATAGTGCTGGACTCAGGCTTTGGTGGCTCTATAGGTTCTAGTCCAACCATCTGTTGTAAACCCAAGTCTCCTTCCCAAGGGATTGCTCAGCTCCAGCCCTCAAGGCCCCAATTTTCAGGCTCCTTTGCTGGAAGGTGCCTAGAACAGGATCTACTCCCTGGAGTGCACAAACCTTCCCCTCATGGCTCGCCCAGGATAGTTAGACATAGCTCTGCACGGCCCAAAGCATCCATACCTCAATGAACATCTTTCTTTTGCCAGGCCAGACTTGGAAAACCTAATTGTTCCTTTCCTGAATTTGCAAGAACTCAGAGGTTCTTATATCCATGTGACCGGAAAGTTTTTGCAGTCCCAGATTGAAACACCAGAGCTGTTTGGCTGCACATCCTGCATACTTGGGGACATCTGTCAATTTAACTGAACACTTGTTTAACACCTATGTCTGTGAAATCTCATCCCAAGCATTCAAGAAAAGTTTGGGGAGAAGTGGAGCCCATGATGAGCAAGCATGGTGAGCCCACCCTAGAGATGCCCTTCTTAGAGACCTGCATGGCAGAGTCCTCATCCAGGCCTGAAATAGTGTGGAAGGCCTCGACTTGAAACCTCACTACTCCAAAAAGGAAGAGTGGTTTCTGGTCACCCCCGTGAAAACACAGTTCCTGTGTGTAGCACTGGAGCAGGAAGGTAGCAAAAGCCAGCCCACAAGCCCGTGCCCAGAAGATATAGGTCAGTGTGCCAGGATATGGGGGGGGGGGGAAGAAGGGTGCCTAGACATGAGATTGTAGGATCAGACTTAAGCAATTGAAGGTTCAATATGACACGTTCCAATGTTGAATAGAGACTATGTAGTGAAACCAAGAGGCTAGGAGTCAAGAAACACAATGAGCAGTCGGGTGTTGGTGGCGCACGCCTTTAGTCCCAGCACTCGGGAGGCAGAGGCAGGCGGATCTCTGTGAATTCAAGGCCAGCCTGGTTTCCAGAGAGAGTTCCAGGACAGCTTCTAAAGCAATAAGAGAAACTCTGTCTCGAAAAACCAAAAGAAAAAAAAAAAAAGAAAAAGAAAAAGAAACACAATGAGAAGCTGGCATTAGGGACTGGTGGGAAAACATGCCATCCCAGAGAGCACAGAGCTCATGCAAATAGGGGGCCCCCTTTAGGCAGGTTGTGGTACTGCTATAGTCATGGCCAAAGTACTTGGTGGTAGAATCCTCATCTTGTGGGTGGTTAACTGTTTTTTATGATTCTAGTATGTGTGAGGGTTTGGGACAACTTTTTATGTTTTTATTAGCACGTATTAATTACACATCATAGTGGGCTCTTTTTACGCACGTGTATGATGTGCTTTGACCATGTTCATTACCAGCCCATTGCTCCTTTCCTGCCCCTGACATGCTGATCCCTCCTCTTCCCCTAGTAAGTCCATAGCCATGTTGATGGCGTGTTCAGCCCTGGTGCAGGTGAGGATGAATGAACTCTTGAAGACAGTCCCGCATCTGCTCTCTCACTTTTCACATGAGAAAGGCTCCTGAGGCCTGGGCGTTGGGTGACACCTGGCCTGCTCGCTCCTTCGCATACGTCCTTTTCAGACCGGTTCCATCACCTCAGACACGCTACGGGCTGCTTTCCCACCCGCACCCCTCCCCAGCCCCGATGGGTAACACTGGGAGTCCTCCGTCCGACCGCCCAGCTCCTCAGAGGAGCAGTTTGATGACAGAGACAGGGTGTCCCTGGAGTCCCAGCCAGTCATGGGGGCCTTTCCTGCCCAGAACCACTGTCCCACTGAAAAAGTAGCCCCCTGGCTGAAGTTGTGTGTTGCCTTTCTGAGTTCCGTCCCCTCAGCCCATGCCTAGACTGAATGCACGGGCCACATGTTGTCCAAGAAGCAAACCACAGGGCATTCTCTTCTCATAGACCCATCAGTCTACTCAAGGGCCACACAGCTGTTTCCTGCAGGGGCAACACGGTGTCTCCCCTCTCACTTCTGGGGTTTTGGCACCTCGTGGGGGACTTCTCTTCCCCTCCTTCCTGTGCACTCTTGTTTAATTTTTCTCCCTAATTTTTCTCACTGCCATTGGCTGCCTCATTCTACATTGTGATAGCTTGGCTTTTATCATCAACCCAGTTAGTGTTAGGGCTTCAATTCATCTGAACCCCATGATGTCTCCTCAGTCATCCATCCTTTCTGGCTAAGTCAGTTCTGGGAAGGACATGAGCTAGACTCATACACACACACACACACACACACACACACACACACACAGGGGAGATACACACATACACAGAGAAAGAGAGAGGGAGAGAGAGGGTGTCGTTTAGAACACAGAAGATGAGTGATCAATCAGAAAAAAATCTCTGAGATTTCTGGCCACCAAGGCAAACTGGGAAATATACAACATATTCTTGTCATCTTATTTAAACACACAGTCATACACACAGAGAAAAACACACTATTATGTGTATAAAGTAAGCTCTTCACTTTGGGTGTCAGAACTTAGCCATTCAGTCCAGGACTGGTAGCCTCAGACCTTCCTGGTGGCCTGAATCCCATGACCCAGTCAAGGAGTGGGCCCAGGGAAATAAGCACATGGTGCCCAGAGCATCCAGGGTCATGGTCACAAGTGTAAAGTTATGACAGCATGTGTTATATAAAAACGGGGTTCTGCCTAATGCACAGACAAAGGGTTCATGACCTTTACCTCCTGAAGTGAGACTTGGGGTTGCTGTGATCCAGCCTCCTTTGATGAGCAACCAGAGTCCATGTGCTCAGTGTCCTGGTCAGTGTGGCATTGATCTTTTGAGAAGCACTAGAAAGATGACTCACCCATGGACTATGATTTCTAGTCTTGCAATCACACCCCAGCTCCGCCTAACAGCTGTGCCAGCCCATGCCCATTGAGACTCACCCCACACCAGCACACTCATTTGCAAATCAGGGAGAGCAATCATCATTCCCCTCTGCTATCTCTGTGATTAAATGAAACCGTGTGCAGGGAGCCAGTGTGCACCAAGCCTGGAGCATCAGAAGCACTCAAGACACAGAGGATGGGGCTGGAGGAACGAAGCCAGGGGTAGGAGCATTTGTTGACCTCACAATCACTTGTGATCTAATTCCAGGGGATCCTGTGTCCTCTTCCGGGTTTTGTGGGTACCGGACATGCATGAGGTACACGTGCATATATGCAGGCAAACACTCATTCATATTAAAAACAAAACAAAAATGGAAAGTGCTAACAACTCATGGTTATGACAAAGGTGGTGGTGGTGGTGGGGACGGTGGGGACAGCGATGGCAGTGGTGATGAAGGTGATGGTGATGAGAGCCATGGTGATGATGAAGATGATGGTTATGGTGGTGGTGGTGGTCATGGTGATGATGTCGTTGACGATGGTGGTTGTAGTGGTGGTGATGATTTTAGTAATAGCAATATTCGTGATCATGAAAAGACAGAGTCAAAGTGTAGTAGCATAATGGTGATGTGACCCTCCTCTCATCACCTCAGTCTGTCTGAAATCTCCCTGGCCCAAAAGAGATCTTGAGTTTGCATTGTCCAGAGGGCAGCCACCACCTGTATGTGTGCTTGGCAGTCACACGTGGCCAGAGGCTGCCACATTGGACAGCACAGATAGTCAGCAGCACACAAAGTTTCAGTGACCAGATTTCTGCTGGAAGCTGTCCTCATGGGTTTTCTTTCTGAGTTCTTCATCTCAATAGTTTTGGTTTTCTTTCCTTCAAAATGTCATGCTATGATTTTAAGCTGCACAAGCTAATAACAGAGCCTGTTCCAAGCCTGCTTCTGACTCCACATCAGCTTTCCTGTGGTAGCATTGGGGGCTGTGCAATCCATTCCCCTTGCCTTGCTGTGTCTGTGTGCCTGTGTGTCTGTGTGTCTGTGTCTGTGTGTGTGTCTGTGTATGTGTGTCTGTGTCTGTGTGTCTGTGTATGTGTGTCTGTGTCTGTGTGTCTGTGTATGTGTGTCTGTGTATGTGTGTCTGTGTATGTGTGTCTGTGTGTCTGTGTGTCTGTGTCTGTGTCTGTGTGTCTGTGTGTGTGTCTGTGTGTCTGTGTGTCTGTGTCTGTGTGTCTGTGTCTGTGTGTCTGTGTATGTGTGTCTGTGTATGTGTCTGTGTCTGTGTGTCTGTGTATGTGTGTGTCTGTGTGTCTGTGTCTGTGTGTCTGTGTGTGTGTCTGTGTCTGTGTGTCTGTGTGTGTCTGTGTGTCTGTGTGTCTATGTGTGTGTCTGTGTGTCTGTGTATGTATGTCTGTGTATGTGTGTCTGTGTGTCTGTGTCTGTGTGTGTCTGTGTGTCTGTGTCTGTGTGTCTGTGTGTGTGTCTGTGTGTCTGTGTGGGGGGGGTGTTGACGAGCACAGAGCTGGTGGCTCCCCATTTCTGAAGTTGTGTCTTTTCCCCAGAGTCATTTATGTTCCAGGCCCTATCATCTGCCTTTAGGTAGTGATGAAGTTCTCATCACAGAGCCCCACATCCTGGAGAACAGAGGTACACTCTGGTTTGCTTATGGAGCTGGGGGGGGGTCTGTGAGTCAGGCTTCCAACAGGTCAGAGCTACTGCTAGAAAGGCCAGAGGCCTCAGCCTGTGGCAGGCATGAGAAAAGGCCTACGAGATTAACTAAGAAGCAGGGGACCGGTATCTGTAGATGGGACTCCGTTAAGGATTTCAGCATAGACAGATGTGCCTGGACTATGGGGATAGGCACTAAGTAAACCTATAAGGGAGAATTTAGCATGAATTCTACTTGTTCTTAATACTAGAAACCTGGAGCTAAGCGATCAGAGAAGCAAAGCAGCCAGCCACTTGCTCTTACCTCTATCTCAGAGAAAAGGGGCAATCCTGTCCTCAGACGGCCTCCTCAGACTGCATCCTTAGATTGCTTCAGTCTGCCGTCTCAGACTGTCATGAGCTCCTGTCTCCTCCTGCCTTGTATCTCTCTGCCCAGCCATATCCCTTCCTGTCTCTACCTCCTTAGTGTTGGGATTAAAGGCGTGTCACTCCAAGTACTCGGATCACTTTTGTGAGGGCTCTGTTTCTCTTTTAGAATGGATCAATTTCATATAGCACAGGGTGGCCTTGAACTAACAGAGATCCATCTGCCCCTGTCTCCCAAGTGCTGGGATTAAAGGTGTGGCCACCACCGCATGGCCTCTATGGCTGACTAGTGTGGCTAGCTCTGCACTCTGGTCTTCAGGCAAGCTTTATTTGTTAGATCATAAACAAAATATTACCACAGGAGAAGAAAGATTGGCCCATTTAGAAGCTATGTGGAGACAGAAAGAGGACATGATGTATCGCATGCCATGGGATGACAGCAGCCACCAAATGTGAGTAAGGAAAGAAATGAACTCCCATGTATCTACAGGGGCAAAAGAGGGCTGCTGACACCTTCATTGGAGACTGCCAGCCTTCAGAACTATGGGGAATACACATTTGCTGTTTTAAATTACCAAGCTGATGATAGATAGCATCTGCAACATTCCTGAGACCCCAGTGTGCCCAATGAATGGTCACAGGCCATAGCCAGGCATATTCATTGGACCACCAGGTAGCTTGGAGGTCCTCAAAGATAGAGAACTAGATGGAATCTATAAGCCAACATGCTAGGAAGATTGTGACTTCTTAATTTTGCTCCCACTCATTCATATAAGAGAGACAGAAAGCCAGGAGGTGCATGCCTTTAATCCAAGCACTTGGGAGGCAGAGGCAGGTGGAGGCCAGCTGGGTCTACATAGCCAGTCCAGGGGCAGCCAGGGGTACACAGAGAAGTCTCTCTCAAAACACTGAGAAAGAGAGAGAGGTAGGCTGAGTGCTTCAGTGCTGCAGGGATGGACACAAAGGCAGAGACTCGGGTTGTGAGATGATATGGAAATGAGTGATGGAGTCACACCCTGAGCAGCAGGAATAACAGGGGTAAGACAAGGACTGTTGTAGCACACACAGTTGTTCTCAAGCAAGATGGAGATCCTCTTCACACAGTATTTTTGCTTTGCCCTGCATACTACCTTAGCACTCTGTTTACAGCTCTTAAGCCTTCTAAGTCACCTTTCTCAGAATGTTGACAAGAAGGCCAGCAGCTGTACTATGGTAAGTCACACATGCCTCAGGGTACCATTAGCAGAAGTTATTGCCTTGCTTCATGCCCCTTAGTTCCTGTGTCATTCCAGTCGATTTATGTAATCACCGTAATTGGGCCTGACTTTCATTCTTGTCCTCTGGGCACAGAGTATCTACTTTTCCCTGAAAACATGGCCACCATACATGATGTCGTTGTTTCCTCCCGTCACGTGGTTTGTTTGCACACTTCGGATGCTGCAAAGTGGTCCTCTTCCCCCTCACACTCCCACCAGGCCTCAGACAGGTGTACATGATGATGAGGGGTCAATGATTTAAAAGTGCAGGTGCATCTGGGTACTTTAAATCTCATTGCAGGTGTGTGATGCTCAGAGTCTACCCATGAAGTAGAACCAATAACATGAAGAGAGAATGGAAGGATAGATGGGTGGAAATATCAACAGATAAATTAAAAGATGGATAGATGGATGGATGGATGGATGGATGGATGGATGGGTGGGTGGGTAGATGGGTGACAAATTAATAGGTAGACATATAGATAAAGTTAGATAATAGATGAATAGATAAAAATGGATGACCGACTAATCAGATCAACAGGGAAAATTGATATGTAGATAGATGAAGTAATAGATTCATTGACAAATCAATAGAGAGATGACACATCAGTCTGTCGGTCATACACATATCCTTTTGGTTCTGTTTCTCTGGAGACTTTGATATGCCATTCATGTCATGCACACACACACATGCACACACTCACAGGGAAGGACTTAACCGTAGGACAGGCCAGCAGGCAGAAGACCTAGAAAGAGTTGGTGATATAGCCAAGTCTAAGGGTTCAGAGGCAGAATCTCTTTGCTTCAAGACCAGTGAGACTCTCTCATGTTATGGAAGACAATTGGCTCACTGAGAATAAATAGATTTAAAGGTTAATTTTGACAATAACAAAAAGGCTATATAACTCTTTAGACTAATGTTTGGCCAAACACTATGGTACTATTATCTAGGAACTCACCGTGGCAAGTATGTCTTTAATTGTTCCTGTTCTCAGGCCAATGCTACACAGCCATGGGCTCAATAGGCTCCTCAGACATAGGATGGGTATTTGGTTCAGAATAAGTATCTCAAGTCTGATAGATTTCAGAGGATTGTTAGAAGGATAAATGAGAATCCTCGCAAGGGACAGACAGACACACACACTCACACACTTTGGTATAAAAGCAGAAGATACCAGAAATGCACTTTCCCAGCTCCCTTGAAGCTTGGAAGATTGGAAACTTAAGTTCAACCAATCCAATACATCAGCCCAACTCCTTGCATTCCAACTCTCTCCTGGGCCTGGGATCCCTTTTGAAGCTCTTATATGTGGTGCTATTTCCATACATGAGAATAGAACTCACCTTTCCTGACTTCAGAGTTGAATCATGCTGCTCCTACTCATTCAAAATGTGGTCCACAGACCAGCGAACCATCCTTCCCGGGAGCTGATTCCAAAAGAGGAATCTGGGGCCCTGCCCTAGACTCAACTGAGCTGGAATCTGCATTTCAGCAAATTCCTAGTCAGGTTCACATTTGTGTTCAAGAGACAGAGGATTCAAGCAATCTCTTTGACTCCTCCCTCTCCTGCAATGACCACTCTGTTGGCAGGCCAGCCACTCTTTGCACCACAGTAGGACTGTCACCATAGTAACCAGCAGGGCTACCTCTTTTTTGCCATCTTCCTGACTTTAGTGCCCAAAGATACAGCAAGATTGTGTGGCGATTGCTATAGAAACTAATCTATAACCCAGGAGCTGCTGTTCCTCCTTTCCCCGTACGCTGGGCTTGTGAGCTTCCTAAACCATAGCCAAACACTGAAACTCCTCTCCAGCCTGAGAAAGTCTCAGCAAATAGCAAAGACAAAAAGGCTTAAAGGACAGCTGTAGCAACCACAGATGTTTGTGAAGGCAGGAGCAGCCCTCAGGGCAGCTCCATGTGGCAAGGCGTTTTCCTTCATCAAAGAGACGGATGAAGGAGGCTGGAGATGATGCTGATGATGGAAACAACAGCCACGATTCCTGAGTTCCTGAGTTCACATGCTGGGGTGCACACGTAATCTCATCTGATTCTGACATTAGCACTGTGTTCCCTGTGGTGGCTCTAAAAACATTGCTGCAGATGTGGAGGCTACAAACAACATGAGGGGATCCCTAGAGAGGTGAATAAGCAGGCAAAGTACTTGCCATACAGTCCTGAGGACCAGAGGTCAGATTCCCCAGAACACCCATTTAAAGAACTGGTAGGAAGCCAGATGTGGTGGCGCACGCCTTTAATCCCAGCACTCGGGAGGCAGAGGCAGGCGGATCTCTGTGTGTCCAAGACCAGCCTGGTCTACATAACAGATTCCAGGCCAGCCTGGGCTAAGCAATAAGAATAAAATTAAATAAATAAATATCTGTGTGGGCACAGTGTAGAAGGCAGGGAATTTTTAGAGCAGACTGGAGAGCTCCAGGTTCAGATTCAGCAACACACACACACACACACATGAGAGAGAGAGAGAGAGAGAGAGAGAGAGAGGTATAGACATATAGATATTTTGCCTCAACATGTGTCTGCACTCATACGCTCACACACGAGCACACATGTACTCTCACATATGTGCAGATATACACATACATATACACCACCCCTACATACATTTGCAAAAAAAAAATTCCACAGGCTTATGCCCTTAGTATTCTGGAGACCAGCTATCCCAAATCAGACGGCCTGTGGTAACGCCAGGGTGCACCCTTCTGGAAGCTCTGGGGCAGAGCCCACTCCTCCCCTCCCCAGCCTCTGGCACTCACTCCACGCATGTCCCTTTCTTTGCCCGATCCCATTGTCTTTTCTTCACGTGCCTAGTTCCCCCCCTGGCCTCCTTGCCTCCTTCTTGAGAGCACGCATGGATGCTCTTACGGTTTGGGACTCTTTTTTCCTTTTAAGACGCTTAGCTCGGCCACATGTTTGTCATATTGAAATCAAGTTCCAGTAATTCAGAAGTACACATCTTTGGGGAATGTTTTTCAGCCAACTTCTTGGGTGCTCCCTAATAGATCATTGGACATAAAAATGACATTTACAGTCTGCCCACATGTCAGTCTTGAGTTTTATCACAAAGATAACTATCTGTAGGTATATCTTTGGCTTTGAGTTCCATAAGTCCAGATTTGACTCTATGTGGAAAAATCCCATCTTCTCATATTCTAAGCCTCCTGACCCCTTAATAGGCTTTTCCACATTTCCCCTGGGTCATACATCCGACTCTTTCTCAGCTCCCAGGAAACCTAACTCTTCCAATAGAACCAGTGAATTTTAGAATCAGAACTAAACAAACCAGTGTTAGCCAACAATGGCCAGATATATGACTATCAATAAAGTTTTATTGAAACAGCTAACTGCATTCATTTAGTTTTGTAGATGTTTTCTCACTATGGGGGGAGAGATTATTAGATAGAGACAATTAACTGCAGAGATAATTAGCTGCAACAGAGGCCATATGGCCCACGAAGTCTAACATATTTTCTATCTGGCTGCCAGCCCACAAATTAAACTGTCTCACCTGAGCCCACCCCGCTTTACAAATGATGTTAAGGGTTAAAATGGCGAGTGACTCATCATGTGAGTCCTTGACAGACCCAGAACTGGAATTTGGTGCTGCAGGATCACCAACCACAGTTGCTTTCAGTCCCTGGCCCTCACCTTGTCACCAGCTCTCTTCATGGCTTCAGGGGCTGCATCTGCTATGGCCTCCTCCCTGGGTCTGGGCTCTGATGGATTTCATGAGCTGGCCTTCTGGCTTGGCCCTGCAGAAGCACATCCAGGTTTTGTCTGCCCTTTCAACGGCCCACTCTATGAGCTTTGCCTAAAGCTACAATGCAGGCACAGCACTGTTTGAGTTTCGTCCAGGATGCTTGCTTAGTTCTCAACTTTGCTGTGTTGCAGAACTTCTGGGAGAGTGTGCTTAGAATGCAGATCCCTAGAACCCACATCAGCCTATTGAACCCACCCCAACACTGTTGACACAAAGCCTGGAACCTTTGAAGATGTCACCAATTCCACCATAGGATTTCTTGGTTTTAACTGACTGCCTTAAAATAAAGTAAGAGGCCAATGGATAACGATCCTCTTTAAATCTATGTAAGAAGAGGGCAGGGGTGACAGCTGGAGTTAAGCATTTGCCTTACAAGCACGAACCCCTGAGTTCAATGCCCCAGGATTCACCTTTAAGAAAAAAACATACAAAAAAGATCCAGGCATAATGGTGTATACTTGCAATCCTAGCCTACCTGGATCCAAGAGTCCCGGATCCCATTAAGAGACCTTACCTCAAAAACAAAAACAAAGACAAAAACAAAAACAAAACAAGGTGAATGGTTTTCTTTGGCCTCCACGTGTACACACACACACAGGAGAATGCCATAATTTTTCCTAAGCATTCTCTGCACCATTTGACTCAAGGCCCTAAATTTCTTTTCTGTCATTAACTCTTCCAAAGAAAGCATCACAAATAATGTTATTTGTCCCCTTTGAGCAGACAAGATAAGATTTTTTAGATGAGTTGCCGGCTAAGAATTCACGAGCTTATAAACTGCTGGAGTTGGATGATGGAAAGAAGGCTGTGCTGAGAGAATATGGACATAGAAAATTCCAGAGGAGGCTGAACTTCTGGGCTTGGGTTTTTTATTTTCTGGGCTGGCCAGCTGGCTTGAGAAAGCAGTAGCTGAGCAAGTGCCAGGTCTCTCTTTGGTATGCAGCGGGCACCCTGCACACTCCAGCCTCCAGCATGAAAGGCAGCTGCAACAGAGCAGCCTTATGATGGCATCTCTGCCCACCAGGAACCAGGCTTGGGGACCACTGAGCAAAGATGGGAGGGGTAAACCTCTGGGAAACAGTCTGGGGGAGTTCTCTGGGCACTTGGGACTGGTTTCCAGCCGAGACTGAGACGTGCGGACTGAAATAAACCCCGCTTCCCCTGGAGACAGTGGAATCCAATTCAATTTCAAGTCGGTGTGTTTATTGAGTGCCTGATTCAGTTTAGGTGATGGAGAGATGGGGAGGATGAGAGAGACAGCCTAAGTTGCAGGCTGATGCAGACGGAAATTCCCTGGGAGTCTGACCTCTAGGACCCAGGCCCGGAAACTTGATTTTCTTAGTATCAGCCAGTAAGAAATTGATAAGTCTTAGTCTGTTTCATGAACAGATACTAAGGGTTTCCAGCATGCCAGACACTGTCCTGGGACAGGGGTTTGAGCAGAGACCTGGACAGCCTAGGCCTCTGCACTGATGGAGTTGACATGCTAATGAGGCATCCGCAGGAGGAGTAAAGTCCTTCCAGGTGGGAGCCACATGACACAATTATCAGGAGAGGTGTTCAGGATTTGAACTGTGGCAAAGGTTTAAATAGGGTGTGGACTGTTGAAGAGGTGGGCATCTTACACACAGGGGACTGAGCTGCATGATGGAAAATGAACATGGCATGCCTTCAAAATTTCAAGACCAGGTCAGCTCCCCTGGTGTAGCAGGTACATTCTGGGAAGCAGAGTGCATGCTGGGAAGCAGAATGAGAAAATGGTGAGATTACATGGGTAACATCATATACACTATGTAACTAAACAGCCTGTGTCTGATTCTTAGTCCTGAAGGCTCCTTAGCATCAGTAACCATGGTTTTACTGATGCTAAAACAGGCAGTCTCATAAGTAGCTAGCAGTTGGCCCTGAACATTTGGAAGATCTCATGATCGTGGTTAACTGAGAGCTGTGTACAAAATTGAACCGCTGCATTTGTTTAATGTCATAAAAGTAGCTTGACTCTAGGAAAACTGGAGTATGGCACCAAAACCTTGTGGGAAGCTCATGACATCTGTATTTTGAAAAGAAGAAAATGCCTTGTAAATCATTTTTGCACTCCAGTGCCTGTAGGATCCTGCTTCCTTAAATCTGGCACCCTAGTTCCCTTGCCTCAGTGGCATCCAGGCCTTGCCAAACGGCAGGAAATCTTGTAGGTCCACCTAACACCACTCTCAAAGCATGGTCCACTTAAATTGGAAACATGGGGGATGCTTATTCAAATTATGTTCATTTAAAAAAATCAATTGCATTTATTTATTGGGGGCACAATGCCATGATGGGCATCATGTAGAGGCTGGAGACAGTTTTCCGGAGTTGGTCATCTCTTTCCACCACGTGGGTCCTCGGGATGGACCTCCAGTCATCAGACTTGGCCACAAGTCACTCTACCTGCTGAGTCATCTCTCCCATCCCTCAAGCTGTGTCCATGAGCTCTGCACTCTCATCGTCATCTCTGGAGACAGGCCAAGGAGTCTGCCTCTTAACACAACTGGGTGATTCTCAGTCCCCCCTTCAGTCACTCATAGCATTTGAGTGACATTCCTAGGCCAGCAGGTTAGTAGCAGGGACCGATTAAAAGTGCAATTTCCCAGGTTCCTCTCCTATTCCAGCA